TCTTTACGTTTTTAGATACTACGGTCCTTAATTTATATCCTCTGAAATTTTGGTAATCATCGGCCAATCCAAACCAAAGTTATAAGCAAAAATGTACTTAGCATGGCCCGTAAGATATATGAAACTTCCATACTTTGAGAGCTTCTACTGAAAAACTCACTTTTCAGACTTAGCATACTATGGTTCGGAGGCGTCGATTTGAACATACCAATGCGGCTTCAGGCTTGGCCAGATTTTCAATCCTCATCCTGGAAAAGACCCAGGAAAAACACATCGACACATTTCACCTATTTGTCGATTATAATACCGCATTCCATTTAGGCGTGTTTAAAGCCATGTCTGCGTTCGGCATTCCTGCAAAATAATTACGGCTATACAGCACAATTTTAACTGGCACAAGGTCAGCAGCTAAAGTCGGAAAGAACCTCTCGGAGTCTTTCAATACCGAACGAGGATTCAGACAAGGTGGCACTTTGTCGTGTATTCTTTTTAACATCCTGCTAGAAACGGCCAAACGAGAGACAAATGTGAACATACATGGCATAATTACTGAAGGTAGTCTCATTTTAGAATTTTATGACGACAATCCTTTTAAATTTGGAACTCATCTATCAATTTGAAATAATATGAAAAAAGAATTCCATAAAATTTAATGTATGTCGATTGGCATATTTTCAATAAATTAAACAAAATATATTTTCTAAAGCTGAACATTACTCTCAAAATTTAACCATGGTTGTTACACCTTATATTTATAAGTTTTAGAGGAAGGTATGACTTAGCAATTTGTGCCACTGAGCACATGAAATGCGTACATTTCGAAGGAAGATATTTTCACCAAATATATTGGAATTGAAAATATATGACTTCATGAGACTGCCTTGTATAATTACGACATGGGTCGTAATTAAGGTAAAAAATCATTTTTATTTCAATTAAATTTGAATACATTTCAATTTAATTTGAAGATATTTAACATTTTATTCAAAACAATACCAAAAATATGTATTTTAATTTGATAAAACAAGCCACCTTGAGAAGCAACTTTTTTATCAGCTGGTAACTATGCCCTACCTTGTAATAGTTATTATACCATGGTATGTACCATAAATCGTTTATCAATACATTTTAAACACACGCGTGTTTATTTACCACCTGATAGACTACACCTACACTTTTCAAAACCCGTAACGCATGTCCACATCATAAACCATATCGGAGGTGTATTAATTGTTTTATGAGAATCGTCTATATGCCGTCTGGGTTTTTGTTCTTATCTTAAGTTCAATGTTGTTTCTTAACGTAACTTCCTCCAAATAAAATAACACTTCGATAAGGCTTATTATTTCAATCTCATGTGGTGGTATATATATATGTTAGGAACATATCGACTAATTCTGTAATACTGAACAAAAATCTTTTTATATAAAGAAGCACGCAAGGTTTGGATAGTTAAATTGACAATAAATAAGAAAATTCACAATAAATAAGAATCTATTTCGTCGGTAGATATTCCACAAATTTTAAAATAATGTCTTTAATATTCGTAATTATTTAAATTTAAACCATATGTATTGCTTTGCATGTCCCTATGTGGGTTAATGCTTGCTTATTACCATTCATGTGTTGCATACTTTAGGGGTTTTTAGTAAATGAGGCGTTTTGTGCTGTGTTCAATTTGTACAATGCCCGTATTAACTAAACACGTCTAACTGTGACGTTGAAGAACGTTAAAAGATATTTATATTATAAATTCAATTTATTAAATTAATTTTAATTAAAAAATAAATATATTCTTTAATTTCTCTGCAAATGGTTTCAATATTTAATATAGAGTAAGTTCGGGTAAAGTGATATATGCGGGTAATACGGTGCAGCAGAGTTTTTCCTAAACTAAGAGCATGGTAATAACGGTTCCAATCCCATCATGGCATATTTATACAAGATAGTCTCATGCAGTCATATGTTTCCAATTTTTTCATAAATTTACCTTTGACAGTATTCAGCTCTCAAAATTTAAATTAAAAGATCTTCCTTCGCAATGTACTCATATCATGTGTTCAGTGGCAAAAATTGCTAAATAATTGATATTTATAAATATTTTGAAGTTCTCTGCCTCTAAAACTTGTAAATATAAGATGTAACGCACATGGTTAAATCTTGAGAACAATGTTCAGCTTTAGAAAATATTTTTCTTTTTAATATATAGAAAATAGGCCAATCGACATACATAAATTTTTAGCAATATATTACAACTATCGATGCTGTTTATACCCTTCACTTTTCACAAACTAATATTATAACCACGGATGTATATTGTTGAAAGATGGGACTTATTTCTTTATATACTGATATCTTCTCCAAAAAGGGTCAACGTTTTTATTAATATTTGTACATCTCTTATGAAGCGAACGGAATATCCAATTTGGCTTTTTATATCGTAGAAAAATAAAGGAGAACGGCTTCCAAAATCAAGTTTGACTCTGTTATTCCTTTATAAATTGGCATTTCATGCGGAGCCAACATAACAGGTCAGGCCAGAATCCTCGTATGTGCTTCCCATTTAGGTTAGGTTAGGGATGTCTTTCCTGCTTTTTTCCTTTTTATGTGTAAATTCAAACTTATTTTGATTCGTCTACTTCGTTTTTAAGGTCCAAGGGTATCTGACATATTCTAGGAACAGTTTTATTGGCGATTTTACTTCTCTGTGCGACTTTTTGTGCAACTTGCAGTGACCTGTTATGATCCCCACAATGATTTTCATCTATCTCTCATCTATGTGCCAGCAGCGAAGAAGTTCTTTTGCGAGAGAATTCAGGCCAGATAGATTTTGAGATTCTGCAACCAGGTTCTCTCGACCATCTGTCGCCGATTACCTTCAATGTCACTATGTCCTCTAACCCAACATAAGCTAACTATCTGTCATATATTATTCAGAGCGGACTTGCAATCATAAACTGCTTTTGAGTTTATAGTACGCGACTTCACCGCTTTAAGAGCCGCATGACTATCGACATATATAGTCACGGCAGTAAGTGATTTTACTATCTCGGCTGTTATCGTGATTGCAAGGATTTCTGCTTGAAAAACGCTACAAAGATTTTTTAGTTTATATGAGTTGTATGTTCCTAATTCCCTACAGTAAACGCCTGCACAGTGCCTTCCTTCATCTTTGACCCGTCTGTAAAAAATGACAGACCTGGCAGAGGTAAGGAGCCGCTAGTCTAGGATTCCCTACTAGGAAACTCTTCTTTGATGTCATTAAAGTCTCTGTGAGAGGGAACATAGTCACTAATATGACTATTCCCCCTCAAGAGGTCACAACAAGGCGTTATGTTTAGGATACTAGCGTGACCATAGTTCAGCGATTTCCAGCCATCCGTTTCCCGGAGCCTCAGAGCACATATGGCCGCCTAGAATTTAATCAAAATGTCCAGTGGTTGGAGATTCAAGATCGCATTCAAAGATGCCTGTGGTGTACTTCTTAGCGCTCCGGTGATCAGGATTGAAGCCTCAAAATTCCTATTCCACGTTAGTTTGCGGTCAAGGTTAGTGCCAAGGTATTTTGCTTCTTCAGAAAGGGTTAGAGTCACTCCTCCCAGTGATGGCAGGCGGAAACTAGGAGTCTTACATTTCCTAGTGAAGAGCACCAATTCTGTCTTAGTGGGGCTTACACGAGGATCTTTGGCGTATGCCCAGTTAAACAGAGTTGAAAGGGCACTCTCCAAAATATCTGAAATTGTCATTAGAAATTTACCACCAACCAGCAAGACTACATCATCGGCATAGGCTACAACCTTTATTTATCACCAGAAGTCATAGAATAGGAGATAATACTTCTCCTTGTGGTGTGCCTCTGTTGACAGATTTCCTCACGGAACTCTCTCCTAAGGATGAGTTGATAATTCTGCTTTTCAGCATTCTATCAATCCAGTCCGTTAGAAGTGAGGGGATACCTGAGCTTACGAGTGCAGAATGGATGGCTTCTAGCTTCACATTGTTAAAAGCTCCCTCAATGTCGAGGAATGCTTCCAAAGTGTAGCCAGAGGATTCCATATTCTTCTCGATGCATCCAACCATCTCATGTAAGGCTGCATCCACCGATTTGCCTTTAATGTATGCAAATATCCAATCCAAATTATGTCTTTGTTAAATAAACTTTAATATTCCCTTCTACAGTTTTCAATAAATTCCAACATATCGCAATATACATATATACATTTTATTTTGTGGTTCAATTTATTACAAAAACCTAAAAATTAGTTTCGAATATTTGATTAAAACGCAACAAAGTTTTTTGTTCTATGTTTTATCGTTTTATTTGTCAAATAAAAAACTCGTCAAAATTCATAGATATGTTTTTTTTTTTAGAAAAAAAAGGAATAAAATAAAATAATTATAAGAAAATATCATATAGAATGTAGTATATATTACATACATACAATTTTCTGTACACAATACATTTGCTGTTTTTTTCTTTTTTGAGTGAGGTACTGTTGAGGAGAACCAATGGAACATACAAACACATGTATGTCCATTGTTATTCACAGAGGGAGATAGAAAATAAAAACAAGGTGAAATAATTCAGAAAAAAGAAATCCATTAAGGATTTTTTAAAGAAATAAATTTCAATTTGAAACTCAAAGGTGAAAGTTTCGTAAACTCACAATACTCAAAAAATCAAAAATATACAAATGTCTGCACAAATAATAAGATAAAGAGAGCTTCACTTAATACTAGGTACTTGTAGTGGTTTTCAACGTTAGGGCGGTAGGAGTACGATTAGTAATATATGTATATGTATAACTAAATACTAAGTTTTTTAAAAACTAGGGTGATCCTTAATTAATTAAATAGTTATTAAGCGGAGCAGGAGGGCGGGAATTAACAATGAGATTGTAAACTAAAACAAATTAGTTCAACAATATTGTTAAATTTGCTCTTCACAGACAGGATCAGCGAAATGTGGGTTTATTGTTGTCAGTGTTGATTTGAAGAGCAGCCACACTTTTAGTGGACTCCATTGGCGACACCATTTGTATGACCATTCAATTCAACTTTGCCATTGGCAATGGCTTTGGCACAGCCAGCGGTTTTTAGTTTCTTGGTGGGTGGTTCATTAGTAATGCTGGTGAAATCGAACTGTAAGGGGAGAAGAAGGAGACATTAAATTAATGTTAAAGTCGAAAGATTTAGTCGATTTATTTCTATTTTAAAATTCCCAAAAATTCAAATTATAATTCAATTTTTTAAAATAAATTTAAAAATATGAATTTCTTAATTAAAGATCTTATATTTAATTTCAAAACTTTCGGAATTCAAAACAACAAAATATACTTACTCTCTGTTCCAATGTCATGTGCGAGTTGGGTGCCAAACCAATGCAACCGCGCAAAATATTTTCAATGGCAGCACGTTGACGGAACAATGAATTCACGACCTGAGAACCACGTGGCACCAGGGGAGCCTTGCACAAATAACTCAACAACGACAAGACAGGTTTGAATGGCACCCAATTGGAGGCGGGATTGCTGTTATCCTTAATGGTTATACGTTGACAGAATTCACCCAAAATAACCAAATCCAAAATCAAAGGTGAAGCCAACAAAGAATCTTCACAGGTATTGTGTATGACCAAAGTGTTGTGGCCACCCATCATAATTTCCGAAGTGTATTCATCCATGGCACGTTTGCTGTCGCCGACATAGGGTACATATTTGATGACCACAACATGATCGGGATGTTCTTTGGGTCCATACAAGACGCTGTTCGATTCGACCATGTCATCAACAACATTGCTCTTGGAGATCTGTTCGAGGAGAGGGAGAGAGTTACAAAATTAAATACCATAAGAAAGAAAACTTCACATGAAACACTTACTTCCTTGGAACGGAATTGTTGGGGAGCCGACAAATTCTTGCCATCATTGTTACCCAAATGATTGTAACTGACAATGGACACCGGCTTAATACCAGCACCCACCAGAAAATCAACCAAAACCGATTTCAATTTAGTTTGACCCGATTTGAAATCATCACCAGCAATGAAGACCCCTTGTGTTCGGCCAATTCAATTAGACCAGGTACAAAGGTGTTTTGTGGCGAACCATTAATGTAGGTGCAACCCTCAGCAATACTGGCCATGGCAAAAATGGTCGAGGGTGAAATTTCCGATTTGTTGGCCTTCAATGAAGCTTCCAATTCCTGCATGGTCATATTCAAACCAGGCTTGACATCACTGAAACGTTCAGTATTGGCGGTCCACAAAACAATGACCGAATCCAAATTCTTGCTGGCCTTAAAATCTTGTATGTCACGACGAATTTGTTCAAATTGTTCATATTTCGTGCCCTTAATCAAATTATCAGCACGATCCGATTGATTGGCAGCAATAAAATCAGGATCATAAATTGATGGTCTGGGTTTCATTGCTTTCAAGTCGTCATACAATTGATCTTGCAATTGGACATCCAAAACTTGGGCCCTCTTCATGGCATCACCAATATTCATGGAACTAATATCCCAACCATCGACAACGATGTCGTCGGGATTGACCATAGGAACTAAATCTTTCATGGGTACATAGACATCTTTACCCTCCTCGTCGGAGCCAATGAGCACGGTGGAGGCCTGGGTAATGGAGCCAAACCAATTGGCCTTTTGGATGCCGGTACGTTTGCGCCATTGCAACTGGCGGCGATTAGCTTCAAGAGCAGCGGTCAAGGTGGAACCATTGTTGCCACCCCAACCGACCAACATCAAACCCAATTTGGGGACCCGACGATCGGTGCGGATTTTCAAGTTAGCAGATTCAGGGAAGACCTGTGAAGAGAGACGGAACAAATTCAAAATTATTATTATCTTAAATTCTGATAGTGACAGTGTGTCTAGAAGGAGTATACACATGGACAATTATTAACAAATTTAGAAAAAATTTTAAATAATTTTTCTAATCTTCCTCCTGAGGCGTAGATTTTTTAAATAATTTTTTTAACCCTCCTCTCCTAAGGCGAAGATTTTTTAAATCATTTTTTCTATTTTTTCCCCTTTTTAACCTTAATGGAGCCCACAGTGTATATACCGTAAGGAAGCATTTCAAATATGTGTATACAATAAATTTATTATCTATACATAATTATTTTTTTTTATTTATTCAATATATTTTTAGAAATATCATGCCATACAAAAAATAATAATGGATGGCATACCAACTAGCTGTTATCTATGTAGGGAATCTAATCACCCACTAAATTACTATTCTACTGGTGTCCTAAAGAGGGGTGTGATGGGAATTCTTATCTTCTTCTATCTTAAATATATAAAAAAAATAAATCTAATATTGATATGATATAAAATATATTCGAAAAAAAATGGGAAAATTTTTTCCACCATGAATTGCAATAACTTTTTTTTTGCTGAGTTCTTTTTTATATGAATTGTTCTGGCCATAATGAATAATGCAAACTACAAATTTTGTTTAAATATTAACAAATAAAATTTGCAAATTTGGCATTAATTTATTGTTGTTGTTGCCATCAACACTATTTATGTATTCCCGCCACTTCTTCGGTTGAGAGGTGGAATTGCTGAAAAAAATGGTTTAAAAATTTACTCGTGTGCCGGGGAACAAATATTGTCTGCTATTTTGTTTTGGTATTCACAACAGGTGTGTCTATATCTATGATCGGCAAATATCATTAGAATATTTGAAACATTTGTTTTTATTCTTCTATGTGATCTTTGGAATATAGTAGTTGTTTTTTTCTTTAAACGCTTGGAAACCAATATGATCATTCAAAATTTATAACATGTTACGCTGACTTCTGATCTGTAGGAATCTGATTGGACAATGGATTTTTTTTGTTTGATTGCCGGTAGCTACTGCCACCAGCCGGCCAATTTATTATGTACATATTAAATGATCAATTAGTTGTCTTTATTATATATCTCAAAAAAAACTATAACAACAACAATGAATCCGAAAAATAATATTACATATTCAATTTCTTTACACATTAAAGTTTAATGAACCGGCTGATGGATGACAAGCAAAAAGAAAAAAAATTCCAAACGCACGCACTTTTACAAAACTATAAATAGGGAGAATTAATTGGAATTCGTTTAACCCAATTTTTTGAAAGATGAGCAGAAATGAAAGTGTTGTTGTTATTTGCAAATTTGGAAAAATACAATATTTATGCCACATTCAAATGATATGAACAGTTTTGAATTTACGGGAATAAATGCGATTTTTTTATTAAAGAAAAATTGTGGACTTGCGATTGAATGAAAGGGGATCGCTATCACCACACACATTAGGAAGGTAAGTCTTAGCACTCTCCAGACTGCTCGAAGTGAGAATATATAAAACCTAACAAGCCTAGTAAAGACTTGCCCCAAGTAGAATGTCCAAATACTTTTGGGTTGCACCGGCCCTTATATCTCGGATACACAAAAAAATTCCTGAGACTGATCTGTTGCTTCCAAATCTAAAATTCCAACAATTGGATATAACGAAAGTTCGGTATATTTTTTATTGCAAAAATTCTAATCATATTGTGTTATCATTTTTAATATATAGGCTATTGTTATTATTAACATAATCGACGTGGTGAGTTAACAATTAATAACCTTTTTTAGATAACATTTATTTTATAATAATGTGTCAGATTTATAATAATAAATAAATGCTACGTGGGTGTTTAACACCACTTCAAATTGTTATCATTATAAAAAATATATAGTGAATAGTAGGAACCCAAAAAACTTCAATCATTTAGTCACTTGAGGTCTTCAATGTACTACAACAAATATAATTTATTATCTTGATATTTATGTATTCCAATCAAATTTGTTGACCTAATTAAAAAGACACGCGGGTGTTGTCAGGACAACACGCCACTCTTTATGGGCTTATCTGTGAAGAATACAGTTTTGTTAACCTTAAAATACACCTTATAGGAGTAGAATTTAATCTAGAGATCTTTTCACCCTAGGTAAGATTTTCGTTTGAATACAATATCGTTTCGTTTGAATACAATACATTAGAATACAATATATGATAAATCTTTACTCTATTAATAATTATTGTTTGATCAAATTTTTAAGACAATAATTTGTTCTACAATTTATTATAACGGTTTCTTAGCCCTAAATTTCTATTTTCTGACAAAAATTACAACAAAATTCGTAAATGTGTATCTAATTTGCTTAGCTATTTGTACGAAATCTTTTCGCAATATTTTCATATGAAATCTAATAATAACAAAGAACAATATTGTTTATTCAAATATCGAATTGAATTTGTTTTGTTTAGACATACCTATATGCACAAACAGTTGTAAATATATGTACAGTATGGTACAAAATATTTTCAATTATGCAGAAATTTAATTCTGAGGATCTATATTTGTTCTACATAACCGAGAGCAAGAGTCGACATTTAGATTTTCGCCTTTGACTAGAAAGTCGACTTTTCGATCTATCGATTTTGTCAAATTGTTCTAAAATGTGTAATTTGTGGGCAATTCAGGCTTTGTGATAATAAACCAAGTTTTTATAAAGAAAATCAAATGTTGCTATTTCTAAGACGACTTTACGATTTCCTCAAAGATCAAAAGTCGAATTAGATTTTTAGACTTTTCAATACAAAAAGTCGATTAGTCGAAAATTGATATACTTATACTTAGGTGTCCATCGCTAATTAGCAAAAGACAAAGACAGTTTGGCAAATATGAAATTGATAATCTAGCTGGCTAAAATAACCAAATTTCTACACTCTTTAAACTTCCTCCATCTCTCCTTTTTTTCCACATTCCTTTACTTCTTTCTTTTGAGGTACCCAGAATGAGAACGATGGACAAATGGCTCAGAGTGATCGGCTGCAAATGGCAGACGTACATCGTATTTTAAGAATGGGAAATTAATACACTCATAAAATTAAAATTATCAAAATTAAGCCAGGACGTTTTTCTCGAATTTGTACATTTAATTGATCCAAAAGTTGCAATAGTACTCGGAATTTATGGTTTTACACTTTTGCAGATATGCAATCAATAAAATACCTTTGAAGTCCCAAAAACCCGTTGCCATAATCTTACCTGCCAATTAAATTGTTTTTACCTTCTTTGGAGCACTTACTCCAGGTTCAGTCCATTGTTTGGATTGTTTCTAATTTTTCCATTGTGAAAAAATTGCGGATGCGTCTTTTTTGAACACCTGTTTCTATATGAAGGAAAACAATTTTACATGTGTTCATAACAGAGATGAAAATTTCAAAAACACTTAACTTGTTTCTGTTTATACCGTGCTTTTTGTGCTAGGCCATGAATTTTCCGAACTGCCCTCGTATATAGTAATTTGGTTTTTTGAGTTACCCTACCAGAAATTATCAATATTGGCTAAGTTTCCAAGTAACTCCTTTATAATGACACCTCCATTATTCGGTATTTTGGGCATGTGTTTTAACAGAATTGGCTGAGTTTTGATTTTTGAGGTTCTCATGGGGTGTTAAATCTTCCCACCAAAAATTATTAATATATGTTCACATTTTGGCAAAGCTACCGTATAACGGTACCGATTGTTATTTTATTATAAAAGGTTCTTCGATGGTGACATCCATATATAAAAAATTATCAATAAAGATCAAGGGTTTCACATAGCCCCATATGTAATTTGAACCCGAACGTCGATATTTTAAAAGTTTTATCTGCATTTCCCCATTCTAGTGGCTATAACTTGTCGTTTGTCTTTAATCGAACTGACATTCTGTACTTGAAAACAGTACTGTAATTTGTAAGTACAATCGGCCGTCTTAACATGAAATGAAATTAGTGATATTAAATAAACATAAATCATTTAATAAAAAAGTATAATTACCTCAACAAATGTAATGTCACCAAGTAAGCATCATATTTTTAACCATTACCCCATCTATTTCCTTCTACTCAGCTATTGCAAATTGTATCCTATCATTTGTACCACACTGTATATGTCCCCCGTATGTAAACAATATATCACACCACACGTCATATTTTATATGCATACCCAGATATGCATACATTCTCAGAAATAACGTAATCTTCTTCTTATATGGCTTTAAAATATTTTTTTCTTCCGATTTTCCATTTCTCCTCCCCTTTCAATATGAAATTGAAATGCATTAATAGTAGCATTTCTATTTTAATGGCTATTTACACATTGACGTCTGTGTTCTTATAAGTACTCTCTAACAACAAGTGAAAACAACTGTAGCAAAACAAAAACAACAACAACAAATACAAGGAGAAACAAAAATAGCATAAGCAAGACGCCATTACCGACAGTTAACACAGAAAAAAGCCGTCAACAACCCAGACCTAGTAACCGCTTATGGAATTATTATGTAACCTTGAACGTGAACTACAAAAATAACATAAATATCAACAGCAGAAGCAACACAACATAGAGAGTTGTCTAATTTCATTCCAATGAGAGAATACACACAACGCACAACAACAACAAAAAGGGGGGCCGCCGGCAAGTGGGTGATGAGAACCATATGATTTGAGTCTCTCATTGTTTACATTTGCTGTAAAACGGCGAGGGGATAGAGAGAGAGAGAGCGAGAAAGGAACACTCACGCGTGTTCCAATTAGTATATGTGCCGCCGTTGAGTACAATTACTGTAAAGCACCTTTTACAACGCATGTCCGTTACTGTAGCGTAAACGTAAGTGGGAATGTTTGGAGGGAATGATTTGTGTTAAAAAGTTAAAGGTATTGTGTTGTTGTTGATTGCAATGGAAATCGATTTTAGTGTGGGGAATACTTGTGTATTCCCGGTTTTTATTATATGTACTTTTTCTCTAGAAAGGTCTATGTCAATGGCAAAAAGAGGGCAACATTGTAACAAGTTGATTATCAACTAGATTCGTCTAGATGGAATATGAATGTACACACACAGTAGAGGCGGAACTATATATCCACCTTTCATTGAATTATCTGTTTAGCCGCGGTCAAGTTCACTTGGTAAATAAATAAATAATAAATTTTTGGGGATGAAATGATGCTTCAGCTGAAATCCTTTTGACGACGTTTCGAATATTGTAGAACATTCCATGTCATGATGAATAGATGGAATTTGTATTATTTTGGGATTAAAAACAACAAAAGCAACATATGTACATAGTTTTATGGAATCTTTTAACAGAAAACAAAACAAAAAACAACCCCGAAAATTAAAAAAATTCCAGAGTTTTCGAATCAGCTGTTATACATATGTATGTTGGAATTTAATGTCCTAACAATGTTTAGAATGGGAAAGGACATATTGGAAAAATCCACAGGTTCGAGAAATTTCCTTATATCTACATCAAATGTTTTGAAAATGTAAACAATGAGGATATTTACATGCATACATATCTAATGTTTAGAATACTGTTAGCTTTTATTGGACGGGGTTTTAAAGATATACCAAATTTACAGTCTTAAACGGCATATAGGGTAAGTGCACGGCATATAGGGTAAGTCGGCACTAAGAATTTTCGCATTTTAAACGTTTCACCATCCCGATAGCATTTTTTTCACTATATTGTATTTAGGTTCAAATATTTCCAAATTTTCTTTACTCCCCGATGCAATTTTTTTTTTAATTAATTTGAATTAATGTAGATTAAATTGATAATTAGGTAAAATAGTGCCTTTGTGTCAATAGTCGGCACTTTTTTTCCAATTGTCGGCATGTCCTATTTTAGTTAAACAAAAATTGTTTATTTAATTAATTTTTCTGCTATATTCATAAATTATTATTATCGGACGTTTCCATCAGAGTTGTATTAAAAAAAATATATAAAATAATTTTTTTTATTAACATATTACAATTATAAAACATGGTGCCGACTTCGGGAACCTTTAATCCAATTCTCGGCATTGCTAAATAATGCATTTCAAATGTTAAAAGAATTTAACTTTAAAACCATGTCTACCATTATAAAAAACAACACAAAACTATTTTTTTGTAAATTAATCGTTATTTAGAGCACTTATTTAACATTTTTCCAATTTTGAGCCAAAATGATCGAAAAGGTGCTTATTATTCACCCATATGCCGACTATTGGAAAATTTTAAAAATGTTTGTTCCTAAGGGCGGCATCGATAAAAATATCATAATTACAAATATTTTTAATGATTTTGAATTCTAAAGCATTCTCCTCTATGTTTTTTTACAATTGCGAAGAAGATCCTTGTGAAAAATATATAACTTTAATATATTTGAAAGTCTTTTGAAATCGACATGCCCACTAACTTCTTCTTAAGAAACATGAATTATCTCTAGTGTTAACAAACCGCATTGACCAAATGCCAAATTTTGACTGAATAAATGTACTTATCTCGATTAAATTTTATACAGAGGTAGGTTGCAGTGTTATTGAATATTATTCAAGATATTTTTCATATTTAGTTATAGGATTTTTTTAGTTATTTGAAGTTATATAAAACAGATGCCGACTATTGGTACCCTATATAAATTGAATATTTTTTATGTTTTAAACCTGAAATTGTTACTTCCTTTGCATTTCATCTTTGTGCATATGTATACAATTATAAAAAAAATAACTTTAATAAAGAAACATTTAGTTTTATATAAATTACTTATAAAATTGAAAAAGTTGTTATTTATTCATTGTGTAAACTCATTCATGACACACTGTTTGAATCATAATTTTTGAAAAAATTTCATTATTTTATGAGACATTATAAATTTCGCCATTTGTAAAAAAAAATTCTTATGAGAAAGATAAAGTATTTTTGGACCATTCCGAGATTTAATGGTTTAAAATTTTTCGGGAAAGATAAATCTTCTATTCGTTATTTAAAGTTCGAATACATGTTCTAAGTCCTGCAAGAATCTTCTATTATTCGAAATAGACTACAATTATTCCCTTCATATGTAAATTTGAAAAATTTAACCACTTTTTGTGTAGGGGAATTTTGTTATCCAACGTTTCCAGCCTCACTGTAGTTTCCATAATGTCTTCCTCGTCTGACAAGGGTGAGTCATCCGAGAGCTGATTCGGGATGCTCTCCTGACTAAGGCGGAATGAGCTGGTTTCCTCTAGTAAGTTGAGAAGATCCGACTGCCTCTCCAGGCTTTTAAATTCGGTTCCATAGATTGTGATGTTTGTGAGGGATTGAATCCTCTTACCATGACAAGAACTTGGCAGCTAAGTCTGAATAATACTGTCGGGACCCTGACTGCAAACCGAAAAAGAACGCTGATGGGCACGAGGTCGCATGACACCCCAGCGTTAGGGGGTTACTTTGAGAGGTAGTGACCCAAACATTTAAGGTTATTTAGGGGCGCCATTCTCGCATTGTCAGCTCAGGGATCATAGCACTCGGTCATTTCCTCCGAAACTCTCCCCCTGAGCCTGCTGATTTCCACGACTGTTTATTTGTTATTCACAGCTACCCTATGAATATGAATAGTATTGGGCTTCCCACTATCCGCAACCTGTGGACGCGTCCGTTAGCATTAATTTTTTAATGTATGCAAAAATCTACATTAGAATACACAGAATTAAAATCAATATACATTTTTCAAAGTGGATCTCCCATAGAAAAATTTGTGCGATGAAAATCTACGTATTATAGTAGATAATATCTACTGTATTGAAAAGGAGCATTTATTTTAATAGATGAAATTAGGAAGGACATAGAAAATTTGCTTGGTTTTCAAATCAATGTGGGATCTCTAAAACTTTTGTAGTCCAGTGCAAACTTTCGTTTACCCCTTTTACACATTTCTTCCAAAATTCTTGCTTAATTATCATTTATTTCATTTTTCTACATATCATCGTAAAAAAATAAATATTAAAGCTGACCGACTTTACGCCTCATAAACACCCTTCTGCTTGATATAAAGATTGGCGTTATGCCTAGGGTCTAGGCAAACATTGAAAAAATTTAATGTGAATTAGATCAATGAGTAATTTAATCGATGATTGATTGGATGTCTGCGATCTAATAAAACAAATAAATACAAATTTCACACATTTAAAAATCTAGATGGTTCCTTTTCAATATGATTTTTTGATACACACATATTTGGTGCAAGATTTTTTATTTAAAGCAAATACCCACTTTAATGTAACATCTTGGCTATTGCATCACTTCTTCTTTACAATAAAATTCCTTACAATAATTTTGTTTTTGCTTTTCTAAATATGACACTTATTAAAATTTTTATTAATTTCCTATTAGTAATTTTATTTGTATCTGAATTTTTTTCGAACTTACCTGAATTTTACCATTGGCCAAACGTTTGACATTTGATGTCTGATATGTGTAATCGGTTTCAATGTAATTTTCGGTGATTTGAACATTTGGCGAAACAACTTCCAAAGTTGTGGCATTAGCACTGTTGTTGTTGGCTTTCATTTTGTTTGGTTCTTCTTCGTTTTTTTAATCAAATGTTAATTAAATGTGTCAAAAAATTGGCTTTAATTGAGCAAAGATACACTTATTATATCACACCAAAGTTTTTTATTCTGTTCTCTATTTAAAACCACAGTCTTTGTGTTCAGGTAATTCTTACTTCTTTTTTTAAAGCTTTTCTTTTAAAAAAATTGCTTATCGTTTCACTTTGCAATTGACTTGTCAAATGTTTTGCTTATTTTTCCTTTTTTTCTATTCTTAATTTGTTGTAGACAAATTTCGTCCGCTTTTTTATTTTCTTCTTTGGCTAAAGAGCTGATGATGATGTGCACGGTTTCAATGCTTTTCAGCTAGTTGACTGCCTGGAAAGTATACACCAGTATTTATGCTTAGTCGAGGGCCAACTGAGTGTGCCTGTTGGATATTGAACAGAGAAATATAAAACCCACCACCAGGCAATATCACCAGTCCCCAACAAAACAGACACACGCACACATTAACATGATTCCCTTTGTCGTTGTTGCTGTTATTGTTGTTTTCCTCCCCCAAAACGAACTAAGGCGACAAATTCATTAACAGCCGAGCAATAACATTTCTCTCTCATGGCTAACAGTAGTAGTAGTTGTTGTTTTTGCTTTGTTGGCGCCCCAAAACAAAAGAAAACTAATTGCGTGACAATAGAGACAAAGACAGCCGAGCAATAACATTTCTCTCTCATGGCTAACAGTAGTAGTAGTTGTTGTTTTTGCTTTGTTGGCGCCCCAAAACAAAAGAAAACTAATTGCGTGAGAAAGAGAGCGGGTGTCATCCCCCGACTGTTGGAGTTGTGTACACAGAGAGATACAGTATGTTTGTGTGTAGCAATGAGTGTGTGCGTGGGTTCTCCCGCCCCAAAATTCAGAGAGTTTGTTTATGTCACATTTTAACAGAGCGAACACAATGCAAAAGCATTCATGTAACATTCCGGCCGGTAAATTTCAGTTATTCTGTTTCTTTTCGAAGGAATACTTTAAAAGGCAACTATTGTCTATTAAGTCAGTGATGTGGTTTTATTTTTTTTTATAAATTGGGGAGGTTACACTCAAAAAGAAAATTCTGGTACTTTATTTATTTGATTTTGTTATATGTACATACATAAATGTGTGTGATGCGTCATGTTGCATTTTGTGTCTGGTGGTTGGTGGTATATGGAGGAAAATTTTTGTGTAGCCTCATCAATGAATAAAAAACCAAGCTTCTGGAAATGTTTTGCAAAGCATTTGTGTGTGGTGTGTGTTTTTTATTATTACTGCTAGATATCTATGAACTTTCGTGATGTTTTTTGTTTTTTGATGGCCTTGTATGTTTCAACCCCTCGTTAACATGAAATATTAACGAAGAGTGATCTAGAAACTCGAGGAACATTAAATGTAGAGCCTGGCCATCAAAGAAACATCAGGAACAAAACGGATATTTGAAACGAGAATTTTTCAAAATAAAGTGGAACTCAAATATACTGCTATGAAGAAAAATAAATGGACTATCAAACGAAATCAAACATAGCAGGCTAATGACACTCAATACAAGTAATTTAATTGCTCCGGAGGTCGTGGGGTATAAAATGCCTGGAATACAACCAATTCTGAAATCGCCGATCCCAAATAGCCCAAAAAACCATCAGGAAAAATAGACAGTTGCGAAAAATAAAATCCCAGTAGTTCGAGTAACTGGTTATGAACTAGTTATTTTACTAATTACCTGTAACTACCACTAGTTACCACATCATCCAATTAGCTATTATAACGGTTTGGAAAATTGACAATATAAAAGTTATTTTGAATACATATTTTATATTTATTTCATAATTTATGTTGTACAATATATTGAGCTTAATCATATCTGATTTTTCACATCGTCATTTTGCTATTTCTTTTATTTTCGACTGTTTTTCACATCTGCCCTCTAAGAAATATTGAAGCATCTCAGAACTTACCTTAGAATCAGCATATGCATTTTGGAATTTTTATTTAAACGGCACTTCATCTTCAACATCGTGGATATATATTGCTTATATTTTTGTATAAAACACACTTTTTATTAAACTTTTGCTTTCACAATTCAAAAAATTATAAAAAGTCTGAAGAAAATGACAATTGTGTTTCTGTTTTGTTTTTTTTCGATTCATTACTTTTCGCATTACCAGTAACTACAGGAATAGAAAACGTTTTCAACCAACAAATGAAGTCAATAGTATATTTTGTGTTCCATTTGTGGATATAAATAACTAGAGAACATAGTAACTAGTTATATAACTATACATAATCAGACAATTGCCATTTATTGAACTACTGGGATACTAACAGCAAGTGAACTATTTATTTTGTTTAAAAAATATATTTCAAACGGAGGAACGTTTTATCGACAGATGAAAGTAAAATTGTGCTGTATGGGGAAAGGCTATTTTCAGGCGACCATCGAATGCAAAATATACGATCAAAACGATTAAACTTGTAATAATATGCGCATACTTTTCGTATTACGGGGTAGGGCCTATACATAATATTAAAACTATAATGGATCAAGATGCTTATGGCTCATGGGTCTTCACACAAAACAATGACCCCAAATATACAAGTAAGAAGGCCAAGAAATGGTTTGGGGACAATAATGTACACGTTATGCAATGCCCAGCGCAGACTTCAGGCCTTAACCCAATCGATAAATCATAAATTGACATAAAAGAGGAAGTAGCAATTGCCTACAAGCAACGAGTCGCTTTGGTATATTATCAAAGAGGCCTGGACAAAAATTCTGCTAAAGCGATGCCAAGATTTGGTTAAATCGATGCCCAGGCGTTGCGCAGCCTTAGTGGCCAATAATTTTTTTTTTATTTTTGTTTAATAAATAAAAAATGTGCCACGAGTTTTGTTCAATAAATAAAAAGGAGCCACGAGGAGCACAACAAGCTGATCTTAACGCAAAGCTGAACATAAGGCCTCTGGGACTCAGCATTAAGTGTTAGGCCGCGTGTAGTGCCCTAAGGCTGCATGAACAAAATCTTTGGCGAAGTCTCATCTCTTTCTATCCCCCCTTCACTTCTCTCCCCTTAGATCTCTTATTTTGTATTTGTTGATGATTACAATGCGCCTGACGGTCTCAGAGTGCTGCAGCCACATTGGTGACTGCACATTCCCAAACCTCACCTAAGGTTGGTGCTATTTTATTTATCGCAGCTGTATATTTTTTGGCTAACATCTGTTAAAAATATTTACAAAAAATACATTTAAGTTCTACCCTGTTTTATTCTAGAGCGCCTAGCTTCTTCAGTAACAAAGGCCTAACATCAAATACACAACAAAAGATTTATTAGCATGCCTACCTCAACGACCTTCATAAAATTGATATTGCCGATAACAATTCCACAACAAAAAGTTCAACAGAAATAAATCAGAAATTAGTCTCAATCAATTTGCACCAAAAATCATAGCACGAAAAAATCGCGAGTGGATTCAATGTTTGACCGAGATATTGAGTTCGAAGATAAAAATGACTTTTTTAAAAGAAAACTTTGTTAAAATGTGAAAAATGTTAGACTTCTGAATTCCTAAAAATTTTTGGAGGAGTGTTTCAAGCTTCGCCAACAATTATTTTCGTGAAAAAGTATTTTATCGAACATAAAAAAAATTATATTGAAGAAAAAATCGGAGCATCCATTCGCACAACATGTCCTAGCTACCGTAGTCCCTGCAGCTCGATTCGCATCTGACTATGTCAATCTCCGTGTAACTTGCGATTTATTCGACGCCATAGATCTTCCGGAGAATTTTTCTCTCAAACACTCCATGAGCTGCATCATCTGCTTGCATACCCATGCTTCAGATTCATATAACAGCACTGGTAGTATCAGCGTCTTGTAGAGTGCGAGTTTGGTCTGGCGGGAGGTGGCCTTGTTTTTTAAACTGCTTACTTAGACCATAGTAGAATCCGGATTTCAATGTTGATGTTATTCGTTTTATTAATGACAGTATCAGGGCTTATAAAATCTTCTCAAGTTCCACAGTAGGTCCGAGTCTAGTGGACGTCTTGCGCGTTGATGCCATCAGCTTGGTCTTCTTGCCATTTTCTGTCAGGCCCACTTTTGCAGACTCCTTCTCAATTTGTTCAAAGGTGGCTGTTACCGCTCGCAATTGAGCTCGAAGATAAAAATGATTTTTTTTTAAAGAAAAGTTTGTTAAAATGTGAAAAATGTTAGATTTCCGAATTCCTAAAAATTTTTGGAGGAGTGTTTAAAGCTTCGCCAACAATTATTTTCGCGAAAAAGAATTTTATCGAACTTAAAAAAATTATATTGAAGAAAAAATCGGAGCATCCATTCGCACAACATGTCCTAGCTACCGTAGTCCCTGCAGCTCGATTCGCATCTGACTATGTCAATCTCCGTGTATAGATGGTATAACTTGCGATTTATTCGACGCCATAGATCTTCCGGAGAATTTTTCTCTCAAAGACTCCATGAGCTGTATCATATTCTTGCGTACCCATGCTTCAGATTCATATAACAGCACTGGTAGTATCAGCGTCTTGTAGAGTGCGAGTTTGGTCTGGCGGGAGGTGGCCTTGTTTCTAAACTGCTTACTTAGACCATAGTAGAATCCGGATTTCAAAGCTGATGTTATTCGTTTTATTAATGACAGTATCAGGGCTTATAAAATCTTCTCAAGTTCCACAGTAGGTCCGAGTCTAGTGGACGTCTTGCGCGTTGATGCCATCAGCTTGGTCTTCTTGCCATTTACTGTCAGGCCCACTTTGGCAGACTCCTTCTCAATTTGTTCAAAGGTGGATGTTACCGCTCGCAATGTTCAACCTATTATGTCGATGTCATCGGCGTAGGCGAGTCACATATCCTTTTTTGTTGTACAGAGTGCCATTTGTTAAAAAGATCACACGACAAACTGTCACCTTGTCTGAATCCTCGTTCAGTATTAAGGGCTCCGAGAGGTCATATCCGATTTATTTTGCTGACCTTGTACCACTTAAAGTAATC